GCATTTGTTTCTTCACTCTATAAAATATGTTAGAGTAATATGTGCCTATACATCACGCACCTCTCGCCATGTAAAATATTTCCTCTCAATTGTATAAACAATCTCCCCAGAGCTTCATAACTAACTCACTGTTCCAGGATTCTAGGATTTTGAAATGTAATGTCATATGTATCTTGTTATCAATAACAAATGTATAGGCTTCGAGGTGATCACAACTTCTGACCTCACCTTTTCACCAAGAGCGACTTATCTATCTTGTTTTACTGCTCTGATGTCTGCTTTTAATTCGGGCCAGAATGTACCAGGAGCGGATGTACCAAAGAGGCTTTTAGGTTCCCACTGTTCTGAAGTAATTTTGAGGTTGGGAGGTGGTTGACCTTGTTTGTGGCATGGATCACCTCCTTCCTAACCAGAGTCGTATTTTGATCCACTACAAAAGTCATCCTCTAAATAGGGCATGTTCACTGATAGGAAGATTGAATTTACGTTTTGTGTACCAACTGGCAGGACTAGAGTTGGAAAGTGTCCAGTCTTAGCTTCAAAAGTCTGGTGCATTTAAAAATCAGTTTAATCTAATTAAATTATTTGCTCTCCAGTGAATTCGACAACCCAGTAAAGGGCATGATTTTGTCCCATCCTTCCAATGACTTGTACATATTTCTCTCTCCTTAAGAAGAACTAGATACATACTTATGGATTTATTACGTCATTATAAGGAGAATAACTGTGTTCTTTTTCCTCTCCTGCAGGGACCCCAAGGACCTCCAGGATCCATTGGTTCCGTTGGTGGTGTTGGAGAAAAGGTCAGGAATGTAGTGATATACAGTTTGGAATGGCAAGAATAGAGGACTTGTTAACACTGGCTAATGTTTCCAGGGCTTCTCTCTCAGTGTATCACACACAGTTCTATGAGTCACAATTCATCCTCTCCGGTAGTTCAATAACGAGGGTAGAATGATTTTGAGATACCATGGTTTTGATCACCAGGTATTGTACCGATGGTGTACATGGAGGATTTCCTTTAATCAACCCCACCACCCTGTGATGAGGGTATTATTATTATCCACATGTCTAAGCCAGGAAAGCTGAAGCCTGGAGAATTTCAGTGTTTGCATCAAGGTTTTATCCGTAGAAAGTGACTAACTCAAGATCTACCCTGACCCAGATATGTCTGACTAGACTAAGTGTCTCTAATAACACTCTTTACTGAAATTAGAAGAGATCGGTTGATGCAATGACTTAAAAGGGAAAACAGAATCCTTTCAACTACAACAGAGTTAATCACTCCCTTTGTTGTGTGTGCAGTTCATTTTCATTGCGGTACCCTGTCTGTGGACTTTGTAAATAACATCTGGACCCGGGATTGCTTCCTTTTCTCATGAACACCATCACGTTTAAAAACCTCCCCCTCCCCCTGGTGCAAATAGCACACTGGTTCTCCAATTTATTATTGATGCATTCGTGTTCATTTCTTAATAGAATTTTCCAAAAATTGACATCAATTTTGCTTTATGTAAAAACTAAGATATTTATCAGTTTTGGTGGCCAAAAGTGAAATTTCAAAACATAAAATATTATCCAGTAGAAACAACAGAAATTTCTTGAATTTTCTAGTTATTAATTAAATGCTATCAGAAGCAAAAAGTTCTGTTGTTTGATCTAAAATTTTTTTGATATATCTTGTATTCAATTTAATTTATTTTAAAATTTTAAAGATCAGAAAAGTAATGTGATAGAATTAGAATATATTATTTGGATGTTTATTTCTGCACAACACTTACATCCTAGTATTATCAATGTAATTAACCCTATATTACTATTCTTTTTAAATTTTTATTTATTTTAGAGAGGGAGGAGGAGGAGAGAAAGAGTAACATTGGTTTGTTTATCCAATTATTTGTGCATTCATTGGTTGATTCTTGTATGTGCCCTGACCAGGGGTCAAACCAGCAACCTTGGCGTATTGGGATGATGCTCAAACCAATGAGCTACCTGCCATGCCTATGTGATTATTCAAATGGTTTCTTAATTATTACATATGAAGCACTTTAAAGCTATGATTGAATTGTTACTGCATAAACAATCTGCTATTGTTTAGACTGATTATCTCTTTATGTTCTTACATTGGGAGCTTCGTGTTGAAAAGGCGCCGGTGAGCTGGGGGTGGAATTGAAAGATCACTTTTCACTGAGTTCAGTTGTCATGGGCACAGAGGCGGGAGCGACCCTGTCTGATGGTGTCCCTGTCTCACACAGATGAGGACACAACTGTCCTCCTTCCCTTTGCGTCACCCCTCCCCCCTCTGGCTAAATGCTGACCAGGGAGTTGTGAGACCTAGTCTCTACTTTTAGTTTTGCCCACGTAGCAAATTTTAAAACCTTTTAATAGCCTTTCAGCCCATCTCTTTGTTCTGCAGAGCTGTGGGGTGCAGGGGGAACAGTTGTAAGGACTTTGGTTGCTTCTTGGGTGGTTTTCCTCCTGTGTGACTTGGGCAAACACGGGCGCCAGATGCTTGGAGCTGTGCGCACCTCCCTTCCCAGGCTGTTCCATGTGCTTACAGCCTGTCTAGCAGCCCAGCCAAGCCCGGTCTCCAGAGAAAGACTCAGTCGGCCAGGGTGGCGATTCCACTTCCTACAATCCAGGTGTGGCCGACTCTACCTGTGTCACCGTCATAGAAAGTTTTCATTTTTCTCTTTCAAAAAAAGTAGGCTTCTGTGTGATAGCCAGATAGAAATGCAATTCTGATTTTAATTTTCTTCAGCATCTGGAGGAATGTCATTTGCTGTAGATTACAGGTTTCTGATATCAGCTTTGATTCTGGCTGGATGCTTCCTCATTTTCATTTTGGAAAACTTATTTCCAGTCACAAATCAATGAAAAAAATAAAGGGCAAGAAAAGCGTATCCCTTAGTCATGCTGCACTCTGCTTAAAAAGGGGTAGCCTGTTTCCACAGAATATATATTTACTACAGATGGATTTCTGCACTTGAACGGTTTCCTCAAAACAGAAATATGTATCAGCCAGGGCCTGAGGATTTAATGCATATTTTATGACAAAAGGTATACAGAGCCATTTGCTATCAATCTGAGTAAGGGTGTTATAGAATGGGGCAAAATGGTGGCATGTTGAGTAATAACAGTTTAACATTTATAACATAGCTGCTCTACAGAATTTATACTATTGCATATTAATTTTGACTTTCTAGAAGGAATATGGTGTGGCCTTGTTGATACTAGAAATACAGATTATCCATTTGATGTAGACTTGCCGTAACATTTTATTTACTTGGAATTTTGTCCTATTCAAAAGCCTTTTTAACTGGGACATTACTTAACATTTACACAACATTAATTTCTTCTTAAATAATTGTTCACTTATTTTGTGCACACTTGGCTGTAATATACAAAAGGTAATTTGCATGTGAACCTTTGACAAATGAACATAGATATGTTCTCTAAATGAAGAGATTTTCGTAGTAAAAACTTGTCTTTAAATTTTAACAATTATTCAAACCCATCTCTTTGCCATCTGTCATTTTCCTCATTTGAAAAAATGGAAATAATCCTTAAGAATCTAGTTCAACTTTATAGTGGACAAGGATTAAAACAACAACAAAATATGCAGAGGGTGACTAGAAAAATAGTTATTTTCCCTCCAGTTCCAATGTCTGTGGTCTCACCAGGGGTTAACGTGGTGGCTCAGAAGATATTTGTGCGTGGTCAATAGATTTGCTGTGTTTCTTTGTGTACTTTTCTAGAGAGAGATTAATTTGTTTATTGTTCCACTTATTTATGCATTCATTGCTTAATCCCCTGACCAACCAACCTGTGGTGTATCAGGACGACGCGCTAACCAATTGAGCTACCCGGCCAGGGCCTGATTTCCTGTGGGTTTTTTCCCTGCTTTATTGAGCTATAATTGACAAATAAAAATCATATACATTTAAGATGTACAATGTGACGTTCAGGTACAGGTATGCTTTGTGAAATTCCTTTCTACTCTCTCCTTGTATGAGCTTGACGGTTTTAAATTTCACACCTAAGTGAACTCATGCAGTAGACCATACTATTTCATGTAGAAAGCATTTGATTTGAATGGCAAACTACTTAAGATTTATTTTGAAGATATGAATAATGAATAATGACAGAAATATCACATATATCATCCCATCATACTCAGATAGCTGAATGATTCATTGCTTTGTAAATAATATAAATACAATATTATTTCAATAAATATTACTTGTAAGATTTATTTTAAAACTGGAAATATTTGCTACTTATCTTGAGAAGAAAATAACTTACACAGAGTGAAAGTACTTGATGTTTTCTGTCGTTATGCAGATAATCCATGAAGTTAAAATATGTGCATATTTTCATCGAGGAAGGAATTATATACATAAGATAGCCTCGCCCTGGGATTCTGTTTCTATTTAATGTAATGCATTTCAAACAAATGTATGAGCAATGGGAATATTTGAGAGAATAGAGTTAAATGTTAAAGTGCATTCAGGCCTTACATTTTTAAAAAATTTAGAACCATTTCTGTCTCAGAATTGCTGGCACCTCTGATCTGGTGGATAAACATGGCACATGAATGTACTGATATATTCTCTCGGATGATTACTTGACTAGAATATTATTTGCCAGCATTCTAAGTTCAAAGAATTAGTAACAGACTTTCCTGACTAAACCCTATTAGTCTTGGAGGCTTAGTTACAGTCTGCTAAGGGAGAAAAATAACCATCCACATTAATAATAGGCACGCCATAGGCAGTTTTAATTGGCATCTCTGTACCTTTATGCATCTTATAAATACATTCCGTTTCTACGTTCTTTGGGCCTCTACTAAATACATTTTACAGGAGAATCAAAATACGACCAAAAGATTTGCTCATTTGTCAGTGATAAATTCACATTTTACTACAAAAATACCTGAAATTGTTAAATCCATAAACTTCATTGTATGAACAGTGACGGAGCACAGACACACACTGTGCTGGGAGCAGCGGCTGTCTGTCCTGTGAGGCTGGGGGACCGGGGTGAATGACCTGCCTGGTAACGAACCAGTGAGAGCCATAGCTGTGGCCTCTCCCCCGAGAAGGAAAAGTCGGTCACAGGAAAGGTCTCCCTGCCTTTTAGAGACGAGACTGCCTGAAGGCGGGTCCCAAACATCGCGGCCATCACTGAAGGCGGGTTCACAAAGGTGAGCCCTCTGGCCGTGCCCTGATGCTCATCCGATCTCTCCGTTTCAGGGTGAACCTGGAGAAGCGGGAAACCCAGGGCCGCCCGGGGAAGCAGGCACGGGGGTAAGTGCGTGGGCCTTTCCTCCGGGGGGCGGCCAGGGGCTCCCCTGAGCGTTTGTGACACGTGACCCAGTCCTCGCCGTCACTCAGTTGTTTCCGTGCCTTTCCATTGAGAAAAGCAGGCGTGCAGAGCGTGTCCGTGGGATACTTCTTCGCGTCCTCCACATGTTTTAATGCAGACATTGCACGAGTCACATTTGCGTAAGGCAGAGCATTCCGATTGGAGCTGTTTATCGTCTACAGTTTGGTGGTGGGTTGTCCACAAGAGAAATGAACAGACCAACATGCTACATCAAAATAAATGTTTAAATTGTGTTAGGATGGCCGCATTCTCACTGAGATCCCTTTAAACCTGGTGTGAGTGTGGCCCCTGGGGGAGGCCTTGGGAAACGTCTGGACAGGTGTTCGGTGGTGGCGCCTGAAGGCAGGGAAGCTCATTCATGGACAGCGGGGGAGCTGTTCTGCATCTCGCAGTTCCCCGACGTGCAGGCTAAGAGCCTGGTTCACACACGGAAAAGGCTCCGGGCTCTCCTCCAGCGGGAAGCGAGCTGGAGCCGCCCTCATGCAAAGCGCTGAGCGTCCCCAGAGCACGGACGGGACCCTCGGGTGTGGCTCTCACTCTATAAGAGCGCACGCTGCGTGGCGACCACTGCTTGGGTTGTCACTAGCACGGTCCTCTCTTTCGTATGCCTCCTCATCTGGTCGTGCAAGGTGACCCCGTTCCCAGTAGGAAGCCTGGGGAACCCAACGCATTGCCAGAAGCCCAGGCAGGAAGTGGCAGCTCAGAGTTCAGTGCAGGTCTCGCATCTCCGAGGCCCACGTCCTCCCCATCTGAGGAGGAGGCTAGATGATCTCCAGCGTCCTCGAATAACTATAGTTAGAGCCGCGCTTGGCTTATAGATGAAAACACCTGAAAGTGGGGACAGGTTTGACTTGGAGCTCGTCA